TCCCCAGTAATATCAGCATTGTCGTGGCATACAGAAAAGCTGCCATTTTATCTGCCCCGAGCAATTGTAATATATTCTAGAGACTACTCCAGGCTTAGTCATCGTCCCTTGCTTAACTTGCCCATCTTAGTCCTTGCCCTGAGACACCCACAGCTGAGCCCTGAGACACATTTCTGCTTAATTCATTATCAGCTATCATTTAATATAAACAATTTATTCCTTGCCATGCTTTGTCATTTCTAGTCTTCCTATTTTTCCCGCCCAGTCAACCCTAAAGTGGAGTTTCTTTTCAGCTCTTTATCCCATCTTTGTTTGGAAAAAGTTATTTTATCTTCTGTCCCCATCTCAGCAGGCTTTGTCCCAAGGTACTTTCACTCTCATTCTGAGTTCAACTTTTGTCCTTTTGTATTTTAATCAGACTGTTGCTCCTCTAAGATGCCTTGAATGGCTGCTAGGGAGTAGGGGACTTGGATGTGTCTCAGGCAGAATGGGACCTCCAAGGGGATGGGATGGGCAGAGCCTGGGCAGGCCCAAGAGCTGTGACACTAATTTGAAATGGAATTTGGCTCTTCATGTTTGTAATGAAAATGTTCTGACTGTGCTTTTCCAGGTGTTCTTAAATTTTGGGTTTGGGGGTAATAGAATATGCCCGACTCAGATAATTTTTCTATCAAGTTTTACGTGCTTGCTAAAGCATAATGGGTGCAGAAGTCTTTCAGACAAAGAATTTTGAAAAGGTAGCCCAGATAATGTAATTTTTCTTAGGTATGTCCCTTGCAAACAGTGCAACTAACTTGCATTCAGTAATAAGGCTGAGAGACACATGTGACAGGAAAAATTTTGGTATTACGCTCCATGATTTTATCACTGGAAAGAATTAGAGGGTGTTTTACTGCTTCACTCGAACTTAGAAATATAGTTCTTGTAGAAAATGATGTTTTGGTTGGACATGATGCAGTCTTCAAAAACATGCTGTCTGCCTCACCACAGGACTGTGCTCTCTGCTATCTTGACAAACCCCTGTGCCGGCTGTTACCTAATGCTTAGCACATACTTGTCTATTACAAGGTGGTACTCTTGACGTTTTTTTTCCTTCTAATTGTCAGTTTCTTTCCCGAGAAGTGGAGTTGATTGCTGTGTGATATGAAAGTGAAGCCACTCAAATGCCAAGCTGATGCCCCAAGGGGCATGGGGCGGTGTCACACCGCTTCTGCTCAGCAGTTCTCAGTGCAGACACATCACCCACAAGGGATAACCCGGCAGAAAACTCACTTCTGTTTTGGAGGAGGACTAAGTTACTGATAGTTGTGACCCCTTGAACCAGGTTTTTTGGGGGGGCTGATGAGGACTTGTCTATCAGGTGCTGCTTGCACCAGGGTAGCAGGGAGAGCACAGGGGATGGAGGGAGAATGCAGAAGAGGTAGTTAGCAACCTGTTAGACCCAGGTAGTCATAAAGTCAAAACAGCCCATTAAGAGGAATGGGCTACAATCTCCCATTTGCACCTTTTCTATCCCTTTTTTCAGGTAATGAAAACTACATTGGCTCCTTTTCTACTCCTCTGTAAGCACATTTGCCTCCAAGTCCTCTTAAAAGTTGATCTCCAGGACTGAGTATTGTAAAGTGAATTGCATCAGGCCCTGCCTACCTGAAAATACTTAGTTTATCCTAGGAGTTTTTAAACTATTTTCCTATATAGACAAGTATTTGTATGAAGATATTCTTATGGGTTTGCCTCTGATGTTAATTGTGGTAGCTATCTGGGTATCTTTTTTTTTTTTTTTTTTTTTTTGGTAAAAAGAGATTGAAGCTAAAAGGGCAAAACTACATAGGAGTCAAGGTGCCACCACTTTTTAGGGGTCTGCACTGAACAGTGGATCTGTTGTATCTGTATCAGGGATAGTTCATACTATTGGGAGAGAAACTTAAACAGTTAATGCCACAGCTTTTACCTCTTTACCAAGGGGCTAGGGAGGTGTCTTGTTCAACTCCGTGGGATGCTTTCCTGTTACTTTTACATCTCTTGCTGGATGTATCAGTTTGTGGCTTTACCTGTCTCATTGCCCCATGTGTTTTGTATCCTTGCACAGTCCCGCTGAGGAATATGACTTCCGTTTGTTGCACTCAGATTTCATGTCACTGAGAAGTTCTTACTCCCTATGCTTCCTATCCCTCCCTGTCATTGGGATGCTTTGTGGTGGTGCCCTTTGGCTTGTTACTTCTTAGCAGGTCCCACATATTGTGTCAGGTGATTGTGCACGCTATGATTGATCAAACAATGCAATAAAGAGAAATAATACTAATTTGTACAAATAGTGCAAATAATGAATATAGTGCTCTAGCAGAAATAAGTTATACATGATATATTTTAAAAGGGCCACTGATTTTGCTGAGCACAGATCTTGAGATTCCTGAAGGGAAGCCTGATATGGGAAAGCACTATGAATAATTTTGGAGATGGGAGAGAGAAACTGTGAGTCACCCAGGATCCTGCAAAGAAAAAGGCAGTAGAAAGTCTTTGGTCTGTAATTCAGGAAAGAAGAAATTCAGAGAATATACCACTTCAGTCCTGCATCTTATCAGTTGTGTAGTTTGTAAAACAGGAAGGGGAAGAGAGCACTTGCTGAGTGACGTGTAACATCTGGCCCGATATTGAGCATTCCTCATAGTTTGCTAAAATTGCCTGTCAGTAATCAAGATCTTTTAAACTCCTCGAAAATATTTTGCTCTGTGCCTCTCCCAGGCTTTCTGTGTGCTTTGGACCCTGAAAAACTACTATCTTGTAGCGCTCTCTCCGTCATTTGGTATTTTTCCAGAAGCTAGTCACTAGTCCCATACTGTCCAGAGGTACAGTATGCTGGTGAGATTTGACAAGAGCATGTTGTTTGTAGAAACCCCAGCACATGTGGATAGGCTTGTGCTGCTGTGTGCAGCTAAAGGATACTGTTAGTGTTCTCTCGGATTATTTGAAGTTCATGGGAGAAACTTATAAGTCTTTTAACCACAAAAGCAGAGGCAAAATACTGTTGTTTGTGTCTTGCAGACAAGTTGAGACAAAAAGTTTTGATGTATAGTCCAAACCTAAGTTTCTCTTCTGATGGAGAGAGCTGCTCCAAATCTCTGGATTTTAAGTCTTAAGTACTGCCCCTCCTACTCACACCTGGTTTTGAGATTCTCTTTTATCTTTAATTGTATCCCTTTAGCCTAGTCTTCCCACGCCCTGAATTGTTCCCTTTTTTACCCCTCCTTCCTTTTCTCTTTTAGTTCTCAGGGTGGAAAAACACTTACTTAAAAAAAGTGTGAAATGTATTTCTCCCTGTGGAATAGCTGTAATCTTAATTTAATCCAATTACATTGGCTAAACATATTAGCTGGATGCTTTTGTTAACAGTTGACCTTTTTAAAATCTCTGTCCTTGGATTACAGAGCTGAGCAGAGCAGAGGTGTTTCAGGCCTTTGGAAGCTGCCACCAATGGTCTGCTGTGGGTCCAGTGCCTGTGTTGGTTAGGAGCATGAAGTTCAGTTTTGCTCTGTCACCAATGAATTTTGTGCCCCTTCGCACAAAATGTGGAGAAGAGTGGCTTAAGTGCTCTGCACATGCTGTTGCACCATGGGCTTGTACGAGTTTCATGTGCTTTAACTTGCCTTTTAATAAGTTTGAGGTTTGCAAGTGGAGTCCAATACAAAGATGTTAGTTAGCTATCCATAAACAAATACATATAAATTACTTTATTTAGCACTTTCTCTTGGTCACAGACCTATGGTAAAATGTTTAAGACAAATCCACAGTAAGCAAATATCTGTCTACAACTCCATAGCAGAATGTATTGTTTTGTCTTGGTTCACTGGGGAGTAGAATATTATCCAACCCTTTGGGGTGAGTCTAAAAAAACAGGCAAATAAAGTACCCTGAGTTACTCTGAATTACTCTACCTAACTGAATAAACAACATTCTTCAGAAGCAGTTATTTGTCTAAACTTGATTAGAGAGACAAAACTTCTTTTCCTTCTTTTTCCTCTGTCTTTCAGGTAATGTTCTTTCTATTGTTAGGATAACAAGTATCCCCAGATTTCATTTCAGTAACCCGAGTGGCATGGAAGGGTATAGAATTGTTTCCAAAGATAGTATATTGTGTTTCTGTCTAGGAACAGAATTCATATTGGTGGTGGTTTTCATTGCGGTTTGTCTGTGTGTTGCATAGTTTAACAGTTTCATAATTCTTTTCATTATTCAAGATGTACACAACTTTCCTTTGAGCTGAATGCAACATTTAGCTGATTTTCAAGCATGGTCTTTCTAATAGTACCTTTGCTCCGCCTTGCTTTTGTGTAGGCAGCTTTAATGCACGTGGGATACGGGAAATAAATGTAGTGGTTGTGCTTTCAATAAGGACAACAGTTGTTGAGAGACAGGGGAGAAGAGTTGTCCAATGCTGCTCTTGATGTCACGTCTTGTATTTCATTGATGGAAAGTTCACAGGTCCTTTCAAAGCCATCCTTTCAAATAGTGAAGGAAAAACACAACTTGCACTAAAACTACCTGTGCACAAACTTAGCCGGATGTAAGGTGTTTTTCAAAAGATATGTAGCTTTGTGGGTTCATACATGTGTGTGCTTGAGAGATTGATTGCCTTTGTTTTTCTCAACTAAAATGTTTTCAAGTGAGGGTAATCTTTCATACCTTTTTAAGAAGATCCGGGCTAGACTGAAATACACCATGCAACTGTCACTCAGCTTTTCAAACTTAAAGAAATTGTTGAACTTTCAAATAAAAACCTCATCAACCTAGCCTTTGAGAGTGACATATTTAAGACCACCCTAGGATTCCAGTAAATATTCAGATTCCATTGTGATGCATATGAGTTACGAACCTGTCCTGATGCCTTGCTGCAAAGAGTTCACTGCTGTCTGCCTTTTCTATAGCCCTAATATTGTGTTTGATTAAGTGAAATACTCTTCTTAACAGTCCATAAATTTAAAAAAAAATTTTTTTTTTAACAGGCAAAACGAAGGCTGGAGCTAGGAGAAAGCGGCCACCAGTATCTTGCAGAAGGGCTAAAGACTCCAAAGGGGAAAGGAAGAGCTGCAACAAGAAGTCCAGATAGTCCAAAAAGTAAGAGATCTTATACCATACTGTACAGCATAGAGTTTTTTATTTTACTAGCTTGGCGTTGGAGCGAACCAATACAGCAGGCTGCATTCCATAGCTTAGAGAGTGTGTTTATTGCTCTTCTCACCTGGACATGCGTACAACATACTCAACTCCACAGCTGGGCAATGGACAACAAGTTTGCAGCATGCAGGGGTGGCTGCAGAGGCTCCTAGCTTCCAGGTCACTCCTTCTGTCTGCTGGGCAGCCTGCATCCTCTCCACCCAGGGCCTCCTCTTCAGCCAAGGACATGACATTGGCATGCTTAGAGAGTCAGATGCTGAAGAATGAAGGTATTATGATGGGATCAAACACAGAGTTATTAGGCAAGACTCATCAGGCCAGCCTCCTCCTTCCCTGATGGATTTACAGCAGCTGGTTGCCAGGGCGTCTTTTGCTGGGCAGGGATTTGGAAAGAGTGATAGCTGTGCTTCAGCAGCACAGCACAATAAATGCTCTTTTTGAGCTCTGAGCTGCCTTCTCTCACTGCAATATGACTGGACAATTACTCCTGCTGCCTAGTTGCTCAAAGTACTAATTTTTGCATATCTGCATTGCCTTGGGCCATGAGTTGCTTGCAACAGGAGCTGGGGGCTGTAGCATTGCTATCTTGTTAGGGGGATTTCAGCCAGAGAATTAGGCTGGCAGAGGGAGGCAAATGGGGAAAGGAGAGGACTGGGGCAGCAGTGGTAGTGATTGGAGAGCAAGAGACGCAAAGGGATACATATTTGTCCCTCCTCACCAGTCTACTTGTTTCTATTGAGGCAGATAGGGAAAGTGAAATTAGTTGAATACGCAGTGTTAAAGCATAGAAGTTAAACAACCACAGTTGTTTTAATTAAACTGCCCTTCATTAAACTAAACGAGGTCTATTTTAAATTGAAGTGGATTCTCATAGAAATTCAGTACTGTTTGGTGCATAGGATGCTGCTGCAGTGTGGGTAAGGCTGTACAAAGAACATGGTGCATGCCATTTTAGGTGGGGGTCAAGTAACCTCTTGCCCTATCACTCTGACCCTCTTACGCTATTCCAAACCCCAAAGAAAAACAAACAAACCAGCCACTCTACTCTAAATTCACAAGATCACGTGTGGATGTCAATGATATTTAGATTAGATGATAGGAAAAAATTCTTTGCTCAGAGGGTGGTGAGGCACTGGAGCAGGTTGCCCAGAGAAGCTGTGGACATCCCATCCCTGGAAGTGTTTCAAGGCCAGGTGGGATGGGGCTCTGAGCAACCTGGTCTAGTGGAAGGTATTCCTGCCTATGGCAGGGGAGTTGGAACTGCATGATCTTGAAGATTCCTTCCAACCCAAGCCTTTCTATGAATCTTCTTCCATTTCCCTGTGCAAACAAGCGTTGAATCTACCCAAGAAGGAAATAGAGCTAGCTGGTTCTCTTTGCAAACATGCAACGTCCTGGTTTTCATTGAAAAGCCATCATATTCTTCAAAATATTTCAGTGTAGTCTGAAGGTTCACTCTCAGGTAGGATTTCAGTTTTGACTGACTTGTGCAGTTTAATGTCTGACCCAATCCCTGAAAACATGAAGACGACCACCAGATCAGCCTAAAATCCATCCTTTGTAATACTGGAAGCAAACTAAGGGGTTGAGATATACCAGCCCAGCAGACTTGTAATAATGGCTGGCTCATTTACTTTGACAGAAAGGCCTGAAACATTTAGAATTAGAAATTATTCCAGTCCAAGTGTTTAAACATTTAAAAGTACATCTGTTCAGTACACAGATGCTGCATTTGTGCGTGGAAACCATGAGTTGCCCAGTTAAGGCCCAAGCCACTTGCTGACTTCTAATTTAGAAGAGGTGGATACTATTGCCCAATCTGAGCATTGTTTGGTTATGGAGAAATGGTGACTATAAATTGTGTTTTATGTCAATCTCCTGTAATTCACTTGAGTTTTCTGCAAGCTGTGGAGTCTGACACTGATGGAATCTGTCATTTTGTTCACCCACTGAAGTACACCCAAGTCCCGCTTAATTGCATGTGAAACACTTATCTTACAAGAGGGGGGTATCAAACCCTGATGAAAACTGGCTATCAGCCTGATGAAGGAGAGTCATAGGTTTTTGGTTTTTTTCAGTTTTGCTACCAGGATATTTACATACTAAAAAATACTATTACAAATTCACATAGTGAAAGCCTAAGTAGAATATTGCTATATGTATCTGTTGAACTAACGGAAATATTTGCATTTAAAAAATGTATATATTTGCTCATGTACCTGTGACTTTTGGAAAAGTACATCTTGAAATACAAATAAATATGTAGTGGTAAGTTGTGTCTTAATGCAGAGCTTTGAGAGATTTCTGTAGTAAAAATGAAAGACATATCTGTAATATATATCCTTTCATTTCTGGATTCTGCTTTCAGAACCAAAATGAGAAAAACTGATTTAACTTTTTTCTTGGTTTTGTTTTCTTTCCAAGCTCCAAAATCTCCTTCAGAAAAGACTCGGTATGATACATCACTTGGCCTTCTTACAAAGAAGTTCATTCAGTTGCTGAGCCAGTCTCCTGATGGGGTCTTAGATTTGAACAGAGCAGCAGAGGTCCTCAAGGTGCAAAAAAGGAGGATTTACGATATCACCAACGTACTGGAAGGCATCCATCTCATTAAGAAAAAATCCAAAAACAACATTCAGTGGATGTAAGTATTCATTATCCTTTTCCATCCCTGCTGGCTGATCTCACTGTCACAGTGCAGCAGTGTTTTTCTTCTCCCACCTTCCATTCTAACACTTTGCTCCAAGGAGTCATCCGAAATGGTTTCCACTAGGATAAAGTTTTCTTTTGCTGTTAAGAAAAGTGTGTAAAAAGCATTTGTCATGGAAATTAGAAACTTGTCTGAATACTGGATTGATTCATTCACTTCTGCAGGTGAAGTAAGTTTTCAGGTATCTGTCTCTACCTACCCCCTTCCTCAGCTTTTTTTAGTGCGTGTTTAGAAAAAAGATTTTTGGAAGTCCTTAGAAATATCTGACTTCTCCGTCTTGGTGGCAGTTCCAAAGTACGTTGTCATGACAAAAAGATGCTTTTCTCTGGAAAGCATAGTTTATGTTGATTCGCTAAGGGTGGGCTTGGGGAGGAACCCCTAAGAACTTGATTTGCACTGTCAAGCCCTGCCTCTCCCCTTTTCCATAGCATAGGGCCAAATTTTACAAATGCTGAAAGGGTGTCTTCCTTTTTTGTATCTCTAGGGGCTGCAGTCTGTCAGAGGATGGTGGCATGCTGGCACATCGTCAGGGCCTCACAAAGGAGGTGACTGAACTGACTCAGGAAGAGAAGAAACTGGATGAGCTAATCCAAAGCTGCACCCTGGACCTCAAGCTGCTAACGGAGGACTCAGAAAATCAGAGATATCCTTTTTCCCAAAACTTCAAAGGTGGTCAGTCTCCTTGCTGTGCCCAGCAACACTGGGTGAATTCCTCTATGTAGTGTGATAGAAAGCATCAGAAGCTTCAAGAAGTTGGCCAATAGGTTTTAATGTATTTTGATATAAAAGTTACTGAAGCAACTTGCACCTGTAATGCTTCTGGAATGTTAAAAAAACCCAAAAAACAGAAGAAAAGGTAGTATATGAAGGAGACTCTTAACGTTTCTGTTCTGTTCACATAGAGTATAACCAAGAATCTAACTGATTAATAATTGACAATATCTAATAGCCCTGTTGTTTTTTTTCAAGTATTTTGAGCCTAGAGCAAACCCCAGTTTTATGTGTTCAGAAATTATAAAGACATGAAGAGAAAGTCTTTGGTAGGGTAACAGAGTTCTGTAGTCATTACTTATTTTTTATTTTTTTGTTTTACTTTAATCTGATGTGTATATAAATTACAGACAGAGAGAGGAAAATAAAGTTAGGATTCAGTTTAGTCTGAAACTTGCAACAGATTTTCTGATTCCTCTGGTTAGACAATCTATAATAAAATATCATAGAGAAAGGTTTTATGAGGTCTCAATATGTCTGTTTTAGTCTGAATTATTTAATGTAATAGCAATACTCAATTGCATAAGGTTCATATGACTTATTTTGGCTGTTAATATCCTTTCTAATTAACCAATTCTCCTTTTCACTAATTTCCCACCTATTAGCAACACAAGAAAGCATTTTATTAAACACTGATGTGAAAACCTATTGCTTTATATAATGAATAGTTTTAAAAGAGTATCTAATAAGGTGGACTTATTCTCTGTTCTGTAGGATAGGAAATAACTATGGGAGTACCAGTAAAAAGTATACAAACTATGTGAACACTGTCTTTTGGCCAAATATCATAGACATTTTGAGATGTAACCAAAGATCACCGTAAGTGGCATAGGAACTAGGGTCAGCGCTGCCTTCAGCTAAGAGCATGATCCACGAAGAGATGTAAGCAAGACAAAACAGAGCATTACAGTTCTCTGTTTTTGTGGTGCTGATTGCTGTAGTAGAGATCCCGGCCCAGCCGTTGCTGGCTTCCATGGGGTGAGGCGAGGAGGGATCAGCATTAGCAGTGTGTTGGTCTCGTGCTTTTGGATTTAGGGGAGCATGTTTCCCAAATCCCTCTGTGACTGATTACTGATTATACCTGTGATTATTGAGAAAGGAATGTGTGAAACCTGGGGATGAATCTGAGTACTGTCTTTGGCTCAACTTGCTGAAGTCTGACATAAGATGACCTACTGAATACTCATGGAAAAAGAAAAAAAAGCTTCTTCCTTCCATTAATTGCTTCAGGCAAAGTTTCTGCTTTTGAAGGTCTTTTTTTCTTTTCCTTCACTATTAGGTAGTGTGCTTCCTTGTCTCACTAATAAATAGAAAGTAACTGGTTGCTACCTTGAATATTTTGGTTTATGCCCAGTGTTAGCATGGGGGAGCCCTTAGCTGGAGTGGTGAGGATTATTTGAAAACCATAAAATTCTTTCCTTTGTTCATATAGTGACAGTCACTGTTGCTGTAATTTGTACTTGGCCTTTGCAAACCTTACCAAACAAATGGTAAAAGCCTTGATAAAAGCCATTTGGGTGAAAGATGACCTGTCATTTTGCCTCTTGACCTGTTTGGTCCGAGATGGATGGAAGATGGTGGTTTGAGCTTTGAGCAGTCTGTCTTGCTGTAATGCACAGTAACAGTACACATTTACACCCCCAAAAAGTATAATAAGTTAGGCTTTTTATTTCTGTGACATAAAAGCTGTGCTAGATACCTCACAGACACACCAGAACTAAAGAGCTGGAAGCACTTGCATGTGATCATGGCCATGTCACAGTTCTTTCCCCAGCCAAAGCATCTCTGTTACATGGATCAGTATGTGAGGCATTACCGTGCAGTAACCCACCAAAACACTCATGATGATTTTGACAAATACATGTTGAACAGCAAAATATTCATATTCATGCCGTGCTTATGCAGAAATTGACCTTCTGTAATGTCTAGAGGTTTAAAGTAGTTGTTTAAACAGGTTTTTAAAGGAATTTTATATAATAGAAATTAGTATATATAAATGTTGTGTAAATATTTATACATTTATGTTTCTATACATGTGGTATGTCTTATATACCTACGTTTATGAATCCCCTCAAATTTAAAATGAAATTATGCTTTTTGTCAGCCTGCAGAAGAGAAGACCTCAGGGAGATCTTAAAGCACCTTCTGATACCTGAAAGGGGCCTGCAAGAGAGCTGGAGAGGGACTTTTTCCAAGGGTGTATAGTGACAGGACAAGGGGGAATGGCTTTTCCTGAAAGAGGGTTGGTTTAGATGAGCTATTAGGAAGAAATCCTTTACTGAGAGTGTGGTGAGGCACTGGAACAGGTTTCCTGAGAAGTTGTGGATGCCCCATCCCTGGAAATGTTTCAAGGCCAGGTTAAATGGTGCTCTGAGCAACTTGGTCTGGTGGCAGAGGGGTTGGAACTGAAGGATCTTTAAGGCCTCTTCCAACCCAAACCATTTTATGATGTGGTGATATTGTGTATGCGCTTCTATAGCACACATCTGGAATTCCTGTGCATTTTTTCTGTGATTTTCAGTTCTCCGCACTTTGACAGCAAGTGCATAAGAACTTTTGCTTCATGCAGTCTGTGAGTAATTTCAGATTGCTGAGCTTTAGCTTATGTAGTTTCACCCGTGCAAAGGAGGAGAGAGGCACTTTAGCATGGAGAATCCCTTTTGTTCACTTAGTAGTGGCCCCAGCTGTTACATCAAAGGAAAGTTCTCACAGGGTGTCACGACAATTACAGGGTAGAGAACAGAAAACCTTGGGCTAAGAGCAATGTAGCTATGAGAAAATGGAAAAATAATTCAAAGACTTCTGCCTCTTCTAATAGTCTGAAAGTATTGCAATCTGGGTTGGAAAGTTCCTTAACAGTTATTACATTAGCTTATGTGACGTATCAAGATATTCGAAAAATTAGTGGCCTTAAAGACCAAACTGTTATAGTTGTGAAAGCTCCTCCAGAAACAAGACTTGAAGTGCCTGACCCAGTGGAGGTAAGGAGAACCTGGACTTGTCTGCCAGGTTATATATAATTTTTCTATAGATGAAGCAAGTGTTTTCTGAGTCTGACTTGAGGATTTGACGCTCAGACATACCATCCTATATTCATCTTTCTTACAAAATTTAGAGATGTTTCTTTAAAAAAAGAAGGGTAAACTTCAGAAATCATTTTACTCAGGGCAATCATTATTTGTTCCTTTTCATTCACTTCCAGGTTTCTTCAGAGTAATCCACTCTATTTACAGATGTTTTCTTTTGCCATACTTTATATAAAGAAAAGCTCTTCCTTGACGAGTGAAATGTCCTTGGTTTGTAACCATGTAAAATCTTAGGAAATTCAGCTTTGTTGTTTTAGTTAAAGAGTTCATGGATAACTCAATGCCTTAAGCATCTTGATGACTCATACTACTGATATCCTGATTTATTGACACATAATGTAGGGTTTTCTTTTCTGAAGTATGACAGTTATTGTAGAAACTTGTGCTTTATTCTTAGAATGCATTCTTGCTCTTCCTTCTCCCATCATCATCTTTGCTTTATTGATTTTAATTCTCACTCGATGAGACAGACCCAAATACGTTGGGCAAACGTGAATAAGCTTCACAAGCCGCTGCGTTAGAGATTCAAAAAATGTACCTAATTTCTTCACTCAAGGAGCAACTAGAGATGGGGCCAACTCCCCAAACACCACTGTGTTGTGTTCATACCTCTCTGCGTTACTCCTTCATCCCTACCACTGGGCCAGTGAACTCAGCGATACCTATTGAGTCTCAGCAGACTCCAGATTCCTTGTCACTTCTTTTCCTAAAATTATTCTGCACTTGCTTAGGTCCATTATGTTTTCCATCCTTTTTTTTTTTTTTTGTCTACCTTTGTCCTTAATTTCCCCTTTGAACCTAGGTGCAGGTTTAGGAAGAATAAATCATTTTGCTGCAATGGGGAAAGGATATCTTTTATCAGTATCCATAAATATATACTGTTATCATTGCTTGCTTTTCTGTTTCTTTCCCCTGGGCATTATGCTTTGATTTTTAATTCAGTGAAATCAGGCAGGCAGAGAGAGATACACACAATCATTAAAATTAGTGCTTAGACCTCCCTTATCCTCTATACCCAACTTACTAATTTAATATTCAGCTTCAGGCAGTAAAGTCCTATTTCTTTCTGTCATTTGCAGTTACGTTTCAGTGTCCTTTTTTTGCGTACCTCAGTCACTTAAGAGTACCTTTCTTCGACTCCTGCTCTTCCCATCTCCTTTTTTCTAATTATCTATAGCATTGCCCTAAGTAGTCTTAACTGTTTTCTCTGCCCCAGGGAATCCCTGTTCAGTTGGTGTTCTCGGTGTTTGAAAATGCTGTCTATTATGTTACATAACTGTCAGAACACAAATAATATGAGGAACATTTTGTCAAAGGGCACAATAAGATGTATTTGAAACAAGTCTTCGAAGAGGTATATAATGCCTCTGTTCATGCTTTTTTAGAAAACTATTAATGCAAAACACCAGGAGCAGGTTTATTTGTAACTAGAGTAATTTATGATTTTCCATCACAACACAAAGAGCAACTTTGCTGGTTTTCTATGCCTAGGTATGTCATGTTGGTTTATTGAATCAATGTGCAAAAGGTAAGAAAAACATTTCTGCGAGGAATTAGCAGATCCTGTTATTCAGAACCACCATCAAAATCACTGCCTTCAGGGGGCAGAAGGACTTAAATAATTTTGGGTGAAGAAAAGGCATCTGGTTTGGGGGTTCTATTGTTGGTTGGAAATGTTTCCTGATAAATAGCTGAACTTGCTTATAGATGTTTGAGTTCAGTATGAATAAGTGCTGAAGGCTTTTGGGGGAGTAGGAAAGATGTTTTGGCATCCTTTTAAAGCAGAAACATTTACACAAATACATCCAATATTATTGTTATGAATAATAATAAAACCTATGACTTGCATCCCACAGTTCCATTCCATCAGAATGCTCCAGGTTATTGTGGTTGTAAAAAAATGTTAGGAGTTCAATCCTTTATAAGTCCCTCATTATGATACACCACACAAAATGGTGGCCATTTGAGATTTGTGCACTATAGACGGTGGAAAAAATCTTTTATTTTGTCTTCTAGTCTACAAGATACATCAGCCTAATCTTTCACATTGTGAAAAAAAGGTTTGGTGTTCTTTTCAGGTTCTTTTGATTAGTAAAAAATGTATTCAAACACTGACACCCCAGTAAGAATTTGTTCAGTATCATCAGTATTCTGTTGTGTTCATTGTTATAACACCTTACTGATGTTTGTTTTGTTAGCAGAGTGCATTGATACATTTATCTAGTACTCAAGGACCTATTGAAGTTTATCTGTGCCCAGAGGAAAATGATGCCCTCAGTCCAATGAAAACCTATAGTCAGGACCACAACGGAAATATTTCCAAATCCATTTCCAAAGGTAAAATTGTTTCTTTGTAATACTAAAGGCTTTCCTTCAAGCTTATATTCAAGGTTTCATATTGAACGTTAGCTATCTGACTCTTATTTTTTGGCTTTATTTTTCTAAGAAGTGAAAAGCTAAGGTTCCAGTGTTTCACTGTGCATTTCTGGTCTCTGTAGTGGGAAATACGTTTTTCTCTCCATCAGTTGTTTAAAGTAAGCTTCCTATTTGCATATCATGTGTAACCAAAGTTTATGCAATATTGAAGAAAAAACCAATTTTGTTCCTTTTGCTTTTTGAAATAGGACAGTAGCAGTAAAGGTTCACCTCAACACAAGAGGCAGAAATCTGTGCTTGTGTGTATGCAGCTACACTCTATCACTGAAGACATCTGTTGCCTAGAAAGTTTTCGTTTTTGACTATAAATGCCACTGAAAAATAGGCATCTCACTATGCTTGATTTATTCCCCCTGTAGTTGTTTAAATCTTGTAAAATAATTTTTAACAGAAGAATCAGAGACGATAGCAAAATGATCATTTTTGAGAAGCCCTTTGTAACATCAAAAACAAGCTAGAAATTTTATAGAGGCCATTTTTGTTCTTGAAATAAGGCTTTATGAAAGGTCCTTTATGCAGTGGTTATTTTGCTTGGTTTGATGGAAATTTTTATATTTCTACTGAGATTAAAGATGATATCTTTCATTTTTTCTACTCCCTCCTCTTACAGAAGTGGCTTCTGCTAACTCAGGACAAGGTGACTGCTCAGTAAATATGGCAACAATTTCTCCATTGGCTTCTCCAGCCAACCTTTTACAGCAGACTGAGGACCAAATTCCCTCAAACTTTGAAGGACCATTTGTGAATTTGCTGCCTCCTCTGCTTCAGGAAGATTATTTGCTGAGCCTTGGGGATGAAGAAGGCATCAGTGACCTCTTTGATGCTTATGATTTAGAGAAGCTTCCTTCATTGGTGGATGAATTTATATACAGCTGATTGTCTTAAATGCTGTCCATATCTAAACCATGTTTTTAATGGAATCAAAAAACCTGCCATCATTTGGAATTGTCCTCCACTTACCATAAAATAGCATTATTAAATAAACTAGACTCTTGAACAGTGCTGATATTTTAATTGAATACTCCCTAATATGCTATAGACAAGAAGTGAAGGCCTTTACAGCAAAGCCTTCTCCTTGACCCTGAGCTCCAGTGCCTTGCGAGTCAGCAGGTGCAAGCAGGTGACCATAAATGTTTTGTCTTCACACTCCCTCAGTCTCTGCTTACTGTGACAAGTGGGCTTATGGAGAAGGGCTCAACGAACTGGTTTAGTCCTCAATAACAATTTTATAATAGTATTTCAGGTCGTGCCTTCTGCAGAGAATGCATGTCTTTTGAGTGTCACAACATGGATTGTACATGCAGTGGACGTATATATGAAGTAATGCAAAAGAGTGAAATGGGATTCTTCAGCTACTTGTGGGAATGTTTAAATTGCTGTCATAATGCTCATTTTGAGCTGTGTATATGTCTCATTATGAGGTCAAATACTTATGTCCTTAAAAGCTTTTAATAAAAAAAAAAATACACTGTAAATGTAGTGTATATTGCAAATATTGAAAAGTATAAAGTTCTGCCACTTCTTGTAGTAATCAGAGATTTTTAAAAATGCTTGTGCGTGTGTGTGTGTGTGTGAAAGTAGTTTTTGTTGGTTGTTTTTTTTTAAACTAGAACGAAGATGCACAGTTCAATTTTACTGCCCCCAGTGTGCATTAGAACTGGTACATGAATTTTTGTGGTACTAAGTGGGGCTTCATGTTAAGTGCCTACTAGAGATGCACTGTGGGTTTTTCCCTCTATGGAAAACACTTATGCCAAGCTTTGTTTGTTCAATATATATCATATTTATCTCAGTGGGTTAGCTTCCTCTGCTTACAGCTTTTTATAATTCTCTTCGCCAGCAAAATGGAACTAATTTTTTTCCAAAGTACATAACTGTAAGTACCACATCAACTGAATTGCATTTATTTTTTGAAGATCTTTGCTAGTATAGTATAGTACCAATATTTATTTTTTGAATGTCAGAGGAATTCTAAGAAGTCTTAAATAATTTTTTTTTTCCTTGAGTGTAAAATATTTTGCCATGTTCTGGGCTAAATTAATGTAATGTTGATTAGATGATGCCCATATAATCCTTTTGTTTGCATTACTGTTGTGCTTATCTGACATACTCAGAAAATTAGTACTATTTGTACTGTAGTAGAATATTATGTATGCAGGTTTTCTGGTACCGTTGAGTTGCTGCTATGAAAGCTCACACATGAAAAGGCAAGAAGTCACAGTACTAATAAGAAAACTGTATGACTGTGTGAGTTTTGGGATATAACAAATGTATAAAGGGCAACACATAAAGAACTGTTAAACAGTGTTAAGTGTGTGTTTATATGTACAAATGTTTGCATAGATCATTCAGCAGTTGTATTTAATTTGATATATGTTCTCAACTCACACCTTAGTTATCTAGCAGTTTTGTACAATAGAATTAATTTGTAAACACTGCCAGAATATTTTCTAGCTGGTTTGTAATTTTTTAAGAGTTTTTTTAGATGTGGATCTGTAAATAAAATTGTAGTATTTAAAGTTTTTGTCTTGTGGAAGAGGAGAGTAAAAGTTGTGTGAGCATGAAGATTTTGCGAGACAAAGGGGCACTTTTGCGAGGGAAGAGAAAATGAAGACTAATGCAGACCATCTTTTTTTTTTTTTTTTGTACAAATGAAATACTAATCTAATTTAGCTTTGCATTGTATGCTAGTTTAAAAAAAAAACAAAACCACAAACCTGTAAAATACTGTAAAAAAACAAAAAGAAAAAAACCCCAACAAAAATAGCTTTTATGGTGAGTTTTGTAAATAGATTTATTAAAGGGTGACCTGTTCTCTAGCTGTGATCTTACCACTTCAAATGGATGTAATTTGAATAAATTTTGTATGGTAATGAATCAATAAAAAGGAATTTTTTAAAGAGTTTAGATTTGTGTACACCTATTTAAATTCCTCTTACTCTTGGTGCCTATCATGCTGTTTCTTGAAACCTGTTCCTATTTTCATTATTAGTGCACACACTCATTTGACACCAAATAGTCTCAATCCCGTTTTTTACTATGCCAGCAATAAGTTCATCATGGTTTTTTTAAGCTAGAGTGAAACAAGAATAAAAGACACATGTAAAGAGACACAGTAGGAAATCCAAAGGTTGGGATAACACATTTATTTTTATTTATCCCCTCTCCTCCCATATAAATTAGAAACAGACTTCTTGCAAACTTCATAGAAATTCTAGGATTAAATCACATCAATGCAGTTCTGCTTGACTGGTCTGAATGATAGGCAACTATTTATTCCTTTACACACAGGAAAGGAGTTTAAAAAAAAAAAGGGTGGAAAATAAAGAGGAGTTCATGCTCTTGAACCTACAGTAAGAATTCATCTACCTCCAAGTGACAGGACACCATCACTTTCTATTCTTTCTTACACCTGAAAGAGTAAATTACATCATGATCTTGATGCAGACATGAACAATTTTGTTGTAGAAAGTAAGTAGAAATGTAAGGTACATTTTTTAGCATGAGATACAGCTACATGTTCAGAAGCATTAAATTCAGCTGCATATGTCTTTCTCTTTTCCCCCGTATGTAACACAGTGAATGCACAATTCCATGAGTGTTCCTGGATTCCACAGTTCTCAGGAGTAAGTGAACCAAGAGCCGGTTATAGCAAAGGCAAAGGAGTGATATTAACAAAAGCATAAACAAGTAGAATCCACCTCCCTGTTCTGCTTTTCTTGCAGCAGCAAGATCTGCCTGGGTATTATTCTACAGCTAAGCAATGATCAGTAGAATGCTTAACCTTTATGAAGTCTGAGAGTTCCTTAACCCGCTATTTTCTTTGGAAAACTTGACAGGGAGAAAGTTTCACCTATAACAGACAAAAATGGATTGTTACCAGTTCTGTGTGGTGCTGAAGGTTGTTCACAAACGACCAGCCTGATTCTTCCAAATTCCAAGAATAGAAGAAAAAAAAATCTGATTTCTTGTATCTATTTTAGGACTCTCCATTTTTGCTCAATACCTTCCCACTTATTTTGTCCCAGAACTGCATGTTAGTTATCAGAGAAGAATGCTGCCAAATAAAAATTGAGCCCTCACCTCCCTGGCTGTTTCCCTTCCCTTAAGATTGTAGTTGACCTGCTCTAAAACTGCTAAGGATGCATCTCCTACCGACCACGAGCAAAATTTGAGATTTGGATTTTATTTTCCTAGTAGTTTTTGTATTTTCCAACTGCCTACTCTTGCAAAACCTGTAATGACTTAAGATGGTACCCCAGCCCAAGGCTGAAGAGCAGGAAGTAAGGTATGCCGGCGGCTTGGAAAGGATGTATTCTAAAGCTGTTCCTTGGACATTCAGGGAACTGGAGCATGTATGCTGCCAGCCTATAGAAGGCCACTCCTGGTAGTTGTACTGCCAGCCACTGTCACTTAAAAAGCAGTTTTCCCAGGCAGGTATAGATAAACTTTCCTCCTGTGATCAGGAGGTAGTAGGGAATCATCTGCTTTCTTTTCTACCTGCTGTGCTACCTGCAGCCTGCATGCAGCTTTATTTGTTACTATGAATATGCTCCAGAGTAATTTAGATTTGTGAGCTTCAAAAGCACGGGAAGGGTGCCGTCCATGTTGTGGCTACATCCTAGAACTGAACAGAACTGTGCTGGCACAAGGGCTGCTTGATATTATGAATTCTTGGCAGCAGGACAAAGTAAAGCCTCTGCTGGATCATGCTGAAACTGATCAGCGTGGCCTAATTAGGTCACTAGGTATGGGACTCATGGGTTATTCCTGCCTGGGAGCTGCTCTTAGAGATCACTGCCTACCCTTAATGAGCAGTGTTTGTCAGTCTTGGCTGTTTGGAGATTTTTGGTTATGTCTCGCAGGCCATCTGTGCTTTGCTCTTTTAGTCAACCATAAACCAGCACTGGTGTCTTCCCAGTTTCATTTACTCAGAGAGGTTACACTTGGCTAGTTAGGACAACTGTGAGGTAGTGCAGTGTGATGCTCCCAGAATAGAGAAGTTCAATTCAAGGACTGCATGTGAAACACTTAGAAAACTGACTATGGGAAGCTGAAAAGAAAAAATTAGGAGAGTTGCTAACCTCAGTAGGAAGCAGTTAAAATACTGATTGGTTATACAGATATAATTATTTACTGACATAGTAAGGACTTCTTACACCATCCTATGTAGGACAATGTCTGAAATAGATCAACCTGACCACTGATGTTGAAATGTTTCCCTCCATTCTCTTCTGGGCTAAAAGTGCCACAAAAATAACAAATTACACATCACACTGTGTCTCACTGAGAGTATCTCTGAAAAGTACTTGTGTGCTTAGACAAAGACCAGTCACAAAGGCAAATATATCTTAAGCTGTAACAATGACTCTATCATGAAGCCAGGGTGATATTAATAGTGCTCAGTCCTATTCCAAATGATTTATTCTTAAAGGCCAATTTAAATGAAGTGCTTATTTCTTTCTGTCTCAGTTCCACTCTTCAAATTGTTCCTGTTACTTTGTTCTCATTGTTTTCTTTCTTTTTTTTCTGTGAACGTTGTCAGATAAGCATGGCATAAAATAATCACTAGTTTTTAAGTAAAAGGAGAGGGAAGTGATATTCCTAAGCAGAATTTTCCAGGTTTTATCAGCGAGCAGACCAATAGACCTGTTCTGGAGTATGTTCAGGTCTTTCACTCACTTTCTCTCCAGCTTGAGGGATATTATAATCTGCTACTACAAGAAATGGTGACTTTTTCACCCCAAAGCTGACTATCTCAAAATAAAATAAGTGTGTTACAGATACAATGCAAACAATCTTTTTAGGCTAGCTGTGTATAATAATAATGAGGCAATAATATTATGCTCACACTCTATAACACTTTGATCACCAAGGACCCTATACGCTTAATAATCTATCTGCTTCCTAAATATCAGTCAGGATAAATATCAGGAAAAGTTGTTGGTAGCCCGAAATCGGAGGAAAACAATGCCAGAAGTTTTAGCCACCTCATATTAAATATTTTTTTATGTAATGTCAGTATCTTGCAGACTATTCAGAAGAAGAGTAGCTACTTACTGGCGCTGTATTTTGAGGAAGCTAACGATTAAAATTAAAGAAAAAAAAGAAAAAACGAAAACAAAAACAAAAACCACAGACATATCAGAATCCCGGCCGGTGTGACTGGATACGCGCTGCTCATTTCCCAGTTAAAGCAGAGGTGGGCGCCGCCGGGCATCGGGGACGGCGCTGCCCTCGTGGCGAAGCGGCGGCGCCTCGCCCGCCGCGCTGTTGTGGCCGCCGCCGGCCGCCGTCGTGGCGGCGGTGCGCGCGCGGTGCGTCGTGGGCGGGTCGCGATGGCGGAGCCCGGGAGAGCAGCGGGTGAGCGGCGGGGCCTCCCCCAGGCCCCTCTCCTCCTTCTCCATCTCCGCCTTCTCCCTCTCGCCTTGCCTTTCCCAGGCGGCTGACCCTCGCCCCCGGGTTGCCCCTTGCCCGGCCTTTCCCTGGGAGCTCGGGGTGGGCCCATCTGGGTGGTTTTGCCTGTGTACATACGCACACAAGTATACACACTAATATACGTGTGTACGAACATATGTATATAATACTTGGTCTCGCTGTGTATTAACGCTACGGTTTTCTTCTGACCCGGGATTTCATCCCCGGGATTTACCGAAGGCAGCTGTGGGTAAATAGAGGGAAAAGAGCGTCTTCTTCCACCTGGATGGAACCGTTCTCTGTGTGGAAAGTCTTCCCGTGGTATGTGCCAGGAGGCTGAGCAGGGGTGACCAAAACAGGCTGGTGCAAGGGGAGGTCTATTTGTGTCAAGGCGTTAAACCCGCTTTTATTGCGGTGCAGGGTTTTTTTAATTTTTTTATTTTTATTTTTTTTTTTTTTTTACTAGCATTCGTTTTGTTAAAGAGAAACGTGAAGTTCTGTAGGTGCAGCTTGGCACCGTGAGAAGAACCCACACTAACTTCTAGTTTTGTTTTTTCCTCTGATTTCAGTCAATCTGTCGGAATAGTTGTGGGAATCTGTATTTATTTATTTATTTGTTTGTTTGCTTCTTCCATGTGTATTGAACTAGCGCAGACATCAAGTTATCTATTTTAAAACGACTTCGCAGTGTTTGTAATTGAAAAAAAAAAAGTTGTGGATGGCTTCACCTAATATTTACTGTTAATCTCTTTTCTTTCTTTCATTCAAAATTTTAAACTCCCGATTGAAGGCTGAAATCTGGAGAAACTCTGAGATAACTTAGATACATCTGACTTTGACAAAAATGGCTCTGTAGAAGAAGGACAGAAAGATCAGTACCTCTGCTCAGGGGACGGGGAAGACGGGGATCCTTTTTCCACCTTGTCAGCCAGACAGATGAGGTCACACTGAGCAAGAAACATATTTCTGCAAAGGGAGGACAAATGCATCTTGGGCAATGACATGAACTGATGGTTTTCTGTCTTCTAGTTTTGCTCCTTCATGCCATGTCTGTTTTTTTTTTTTTTTTTTTTTTTTTGTTTTGTTTTGTTTTGTTTTGTTTTTTCCCCCCCAACAGGATTCTTATCCAAGAGGATTTAGACCTTGCTTATAAAGGTAGGCGTTTTAGTTTGGCTGTGTTCTTTCTTTCATGAGCCACTGGAATAAGCTAAGATTATTTGCTTTGCCAGCTGCTCCATTGTATTGGATATTTTTCTGGAAGGGAGAAAAGAACAATAAATCAAAACTTTTGTTCCCTCCCATGTATTCAGTTGATAATGTTACCTATTTGTACCTTCTGTCACTGGTATAAAGTAGTTTAAGAGATGTCACCTCCCCCTCATGCTCTTTACTGCTGGACTTTTCACAGCTGTTTATTTTTTTTCATCCTTTGGTGCATTATTTTATCGATCCTGAGATTTTTTTATCTAGATGAATTTAAGCTAA